TCCGTCTTCGTGCCTGACCGTTTTTGATAGGAAGCTTGAAGAGCCGACGGCGACTACGAGCAGTCGTTAAAGCTTTCGATGTGTTGCGCGTAGATCAACACACCCTAAATTCGACAATAACGCTATCTATATAGCGAACATTAAGTGGTGATTGTTTGTTTATTGCCTGTAACTAAAGCCGTTAGCATGGCAGGTCGACTTTACTGCATGGCTTCCGGTCGGCTTTGAACTGTTTGACAAGTTGTCCTAGGTTTCTCTTCGAAAGCTGGGACCGCCAATATTCAGTTCTTACGACTGAAACCAAGAATGCTCAGCTACCAAACGGTTGCACGGTCCATTAACATGCAACGGTTACATTGGCATTTGTCATAACCAGGCTGTATTTTCCTCAGGCAAGCGCTGCATTGCTTCCATGGGTGAGGGGGGGATAATTTGAATCCGACAACAGCTTTGACACTTAGTTCAAGGGATATGAGCGATATATCCATAAGAAAAAATGTTATGAGATATGTTAGCACATCATTTCCATCTTGGAATATGCTTGGCTTATGCAGAACTTTATCTTACGTGTTATAATGATATCGCATGGTCTGCCTCTTCTGTTCAGAACAGACAAGTGACTGGTATCTTCGCCGTCTAACTGTCGATTTTCGGCAGCCATCGCCTTGCTACCCCGCGAGCTGCCAGAAGAGGCAAAGCAAGCTCTGATCACCGACTTTTCTCAGTCTCTCCCAGTTCCTCAGCACTCTTCGCGGTCCTTTCAACTCTAGCGATCTCCGATCCGGCGTAAAAGTCGATAACGGCAATGCCATGAAGGATATGTGGTTAAGTTTTACGAGAGACCTCGCTTTGATCCACAATTCTTCCCTCTCATCCAGGACGGGGTGCCAAGAACAGCGGAGTTGCAGTCTGCGGATAAACGGAGAAGCAATGGAACAGATGGAGAAATTCACTTACCTCAAAGATGTGTTTACTAATGGTGGAAAATTTGAAGAAACGATGCCCCCGTCGAATTTAAACAGACAGCGGGGTTCTGCGTGAACTAGCCTAAGCAGCGTGACAAAAGTAGAGCTGAGTCTGAAAACTAAGCTGCTGGTGTTCAAGTCGATCATCATCCCCATGCTTACCTACGGTCATGAGTCGTGGACCATCACTGAAAAACTTCGATTCCGTGTACAAAAGGCTGAAATGGGCTTGCTGAGACGAATCACTGGATTTACGCGTCTCGACATGGTCCGGAGTAGTACCGATATCCGAGAAAGCCCTAGTGCACAGCCTCTTCAGGATGAAAAGTCACAGCTGCGACGATTTGAGCATGTCCTTCGAGTGCTTCCGGGAAATAAGGCTGTACAGCTCCTATTTGCTCAACCGACCGGCCGAAATCCCTGGCGACAGCCAAGAATAACCTAAGGCAAGTGTCTTGAAAGACTACTCCAAACTCAGGTTTCCTGCTACCGAAGCTGTAACACTGGCAGAAGATTGAAAAGGGTAGAGACACTGTCTGACGTCTGTGTCTCAGCAACCATAAATGATAGGCAGTCATCGAAACTGTTTGACAGTATACAAGAACCATGTCTGCGGTAAATGTCGAAGCGGGGCTATTATAATGGATATGCATTAATTTGAAGTTAGCTAGGAAGACCACACTGTGGCTTCTGCTATTCAACGTGACCCTTGAGTTTCTTCACTGAAACAACGCTAACATTGGCAAAGAAGAGGAGCTCATTGTAGAGGGGAGGCGAAGTTCAACATATTTGGCTAGACACTCTACTGATCTGAAGCGCAAAAATGAGTTTGTTCTGGTGAGTGGTACGCGGAATGGGCCATCTTACCTGACAGTTTCCATGCTCAACACAGGTGTAAAAGCAGGCTTCTACCGTTACGTATTGGAAAGTTATGAAGACCGATCAAACAGGCCGCATTTACTTATAGAACAGATAAGGAAAACCATAGAAAACCAGCAGGTTTAAATACCTTATCTATATCATTGCAAAAGATGGAACCATCCGGTCAGAGATGAGGTAGAAAGTCGTTCTTGCCCCTAGTACTGAGTGACCCGTCAAATATTTAGGCGGAGAAAGGGGTGACTCGTTTCACAAAATTCCACCAGTATCTTTGCAAATGTCAGGTGTCTTCCTGCTGCCAGCAAGAAGATGGTTGTTCTACCGAAGGAGCATAAACGACGGTTGATCTGCATACAGCAGCATTGGCATGATGCTTAATGATGGTCAAATAGGACTGCGTGAGGAAGGGTTCAATTTTATTGTAATCAGAGATGAATTAAATATAGGCGAAAATTAAGAAAGGAAGTTATCTCTGTGAGACAAACATTTGAACATAAAATATTCGCTTCAATTTTCGAGCTTCCCAGGAGGAACCCAAAAAACTGCTGACATCAGTCACAAGAAATATGGAAGGACATGATAGAGACAGGTCCGCTTTCAGAGAAAAATGTTACTAGTGCATTCATGATCTCTCTCTTGAAATTTCGTCTCATCATGAGACTAGGCATTTTGATTGTTTTCCTGAGGAACAGACTTGTCGAACTCCGTCCGAGCCATGCCCTGGAGGTCTTATCGCTGCCTGTCTGCGACGGCTTATTTGTTGCAGCTAACCTCCATATTTTGAGGTCGTTTCGTTGTCCGCTACCCGGGATGTGTCAGATGGCCAGTGTCTAGGCACACTGGCACATGGTTAGGCACATGCCAATATATAGCTGTAATTATATCAGCAATTAATTGATATATAATGGCGGTGGATCGGTAATTATGTCAGAAGTATGTAGCACGCCAATATTCTTTAAAACGTGCGGCCAAACTGGTAATACGCTGTTTGTTCAGGAAGTTTTTACTGAAGGCTACTTCACTGCTCAGTTAGATGCTGATGTTTAAAATTAAATGCATTTGACCTATGTAATGAAACACTGCGAAATATATCGATGACTGATTTGCAAAGCACTGCTGTTATTTTCTCAGGATTTAGGCTGCCTTAAAGTTGATCCTGATTCTCTGTCCAAATTCCCATTCCAAAGGAATGGTCAAAGTAGTTAGTATCTTCCTATTAGACGGGCTTCGCTTAAAAGTGTATAGAAATCCCTCGGTTCTCAGCTTTCAATAATTCGCTAACGGTTATTTTCGAGGTTCATGGCAAGTCTTCATTTATTACCATAAAAGTAAGGCAAGGTCATGTCGTACCATATTTCGTCCTGGTACTTGATGTAATAATTTTACCGTTATCATCACTCTGTTACGTTAGCGGAAGGCTCATTTACTGGGACTCGGACTCTGTACGAGTAAAAATGATAGATGATAATTCACTAAGGTGCATAATCGATACTGCATTGAAGTTTAGCCACTTTACTCTATGAATTTCTTGATCTACTGGTAATTCTGAACAATTACAAAGTGATTTGCTTTTTTCATTTGTCTTCGAAGCACATCATTCCTCCAATTCGTGGGGTAACTGTTTCAAGAGACTTTTTCTTTTCTTGACCTGTAGCCAAGCCGTCAGGCTCAATGGTCTGAATTATCAAGAATGACAATTCATGGTTTTCTATACCGTCAGATCATAAAATCCGCGATTTTTCCAGGGTGTGATTCCAGTGCCTTTTCCAGAACAGTTTCCCTGATGAGGTTTTCTCACGGCATGCTTGTTGCATGTCGAAACTGTCGCCATTTGATTCTCTTGACATGGAGAAGGAGCAGTCCGCAGTATAGGGTATATCGAACTGCCGTGTTCCAGACATTGTCAAGTGTCGATGCATGAGGAATCATTTGAAAGACCTGATTTCCACTGCATGAATGCGGAAGCTCTTCTTGTGGTCGATATCCAGAGCGTATGACCGTAACTGAGGATAAGTATGCAAGCAGATTTGAAGATAGATCGCTTCGCATTACGGCTCAGTTCCTGTTTCATTGCCATCGAGAAATTCATTTCACGTATTACGCACTCATCAGACCGATTCGTATGTTTGTATTTATATCTCTCTATAATCACCATCC